CTTGCCTTGCCTTGCCTTGCCTTCTTCACTGCTTAGTATGTTCAGGCCGCCTTTCACTGTTAGCTTCAGGGGAATGCTAATGAGGTGTTTCCTTGTTTCTTTTGAATAAGCCCTGTAGGATCGACCAGAAGGAGGCTGGGAGGCTTTTTACAGATATAGAAACAGCATATTTACAGCTCTGTAATTAATGCTTTCTAGTCTTAAAAAACAACAAATAAACATGTCTCATGAAACAGGTGATCAGGTAAAAGACAAACTGATACTGCAGGAGTGTTTGTTTTGAACTTTAAAGTTATTTATTAGAAATGCAAATAATATTTGCAAGTTTTACGAAGAGAGTTAGGTACTTTCCAAACTTGTTTACTCTAGTTGCAATCCCTCCATTTTTGGTTTCAGGTTTAATTCTTGAAAAATCTGGATTTTTTTTTTTTTCCACCAATGCGCTCCTTGGCCTTCCATAGTTTAGATGGCTTAAGGCGGCCATCTTGTTTGACAAACTTCTTTTACAGCTTCTATTTAATTGGACTTTGAATTCAAGTCAGCTCTACGATAAAATATAAAAGTCAGGCGAGAATTTTACTATTTTTTTTAGTGAAATAAAGTCATAATGTTACATGAATGCAGTTGCACAAATATGAGAATAAAGTCATATGACGATAAAGTCTATTAATATGAACAGAATAAAGTCATTATGTGAATGAAGTTGTAATTCTATGAGAATGCTAACATAAAAAACACTATTTATCCAAGTTTTAATTAAAACAACCTGTTTCTGATAAAATTGCATCTTTATTCTGCTAATATATTGACTATATTCTCGTAATTCTCAAATCACAAAAATACATTTTTTTAAAAACATTTCCTCTCATTTATAATATCTTTTTCAGAAAATGAATCTATTACAATTGGAAATCACGTCTTGTATGAAAACAAGCTGATATTTTGTTTTTAAGCCATATCTTCCTAATTGCAGCTTTTACTCCCAGCAATCTCTCCTGCTGGTTTTTCTTGTTCATCATTGGAGGCTGTATGACGTTAGGAAGAAGCTGCATTTAGATATTAATGCTAAATATTATGATGATGATGATGAAATCTGTTACATTTATTCCACATTTCCTTCTCTTCTATACGCCCACTGCTCTTTCTGATGTCGGATTTATCTCGGCTGTGGGCAGAAAAGCCAGTTAAAGCTGTGAAACGTCAAGCACACCTTTATGATTTCGATATTACAGACATTTGATATTTAGAGTCAGTTTTATATTTATATTTACTGCAATGCATTAACTGTTTAAAGACTTGCTGCTTCAGTCCTGGTCGGCGTTGGCTCGTTCCTCCACACTGTGTCTGATGGAAACTGTATAAATATCAGCTCAGCTTTTTAAAAAATTCAGCTATTTCTGCTGAAAAGGTTTTGCTCTTCGCTCCAGACTCCCACAATCCCTCCTTCACGTTCCCAGTTTCTGCAGAAGAACGATGTATAGGTGGTCAAATCTAACCGGTGTTATACTGGAGGATGCTTCATAAGAAACCATTAAAATAAATCAATTCTGCTGACTGAATACATCAATTTATACTAGTGCTGCAATTAACACTTACTTTAGTGATTGATTATGCTATCAGTTATTCTGATGATTAATCGGATAAAAGAAAAAGATCCTACAGATTTTTTTAGTTAAGACAGTTTTATAAGCCATATGTATTTATAAATGAACAAATAATTCAAGTCCTTGTTGAAATAATAAATGACGATTAATCGATTAACCTGATATTCTGTGCCAGTATTAGAATACATTAAAAGGTGCACATAAACAAGTCAATTCCTTTTATAAATAAGTAAGTAGACATTTCATTGCTTAAAATGTAGCAGCATAACATTATTTCAGTTGAATAATGACAAAGCTATTTACAGATGAACACTTTTTAATCTTAAATGCAAAATGTCTACATTTTTTGCACAATTTTAGCAAACCGTGTTTTCTTTTTTTTAAGCAAATTACCTTTTTTGAGTTAACAATTAGTCAATTACTAAAGTAGTTGACGATGTTTCAATAATCGATTAATCGTGATTAATTGTTTGAACCCTACTAAATGGTTTACAATTTGAATAATTATTGCAGGTTTTCAAATCAGTTTATTCCAGCTGATTTCTTAGTTCAAAACGCAACACCTTTTGAAAATAACAGCTTGAAGGATTTGTTTTGATCAGAGGCGTTTATTTCTGTTTTCTTCTGCCTTCAGCTGGACCTGAGCCAGCCTCTGGAGGACCAGGGTCCGCTGGACCTCATCATCCACAAACTGACCGACCTCATCCTGGAAGCGGACCAGAACGATTCACAAGCCGTGCTGCAGGTCCAGAGAGTACAGGTATGAGTGCCCGGACAAAGTCTCAATATAATCCACAAATCCAGCGGATCAAAATTAGAGAAAGTAAAAAATTCACTTGCAGACATTTTAATGGTGGCAGGTATTTTACTGCTGGACTGTAAAAAATGCAGCTTGATTCTTAACTGGAACTTAACTGGGTTCATGTTGGGTCGACATAGCAGCAGGGTTGGGTGATATTGTCTTTTATTGTGATATTATTGTGATAATAGTAAAGTAGGGGTGTCCAAAGTGCGGCCTGGGGGCCGTTTGTGGCCCTTGGATTGATTTGGTGTGGCCCCCGACTGCAGTTCAAAAATTATACACATTTGGCCTTTAGGTCCAGATGGAGACTTTTAATTTGTAATAAAGGTGAAAGATATTACTAACATAACTTTCTTACGCAGGAAAATGTAAAGTACAACACAGAGTATTTGTATTTTTGTAACCAAGCTTTTACTGAAAAGCCAACTTTACTGCACCCAAATCGGCTTTTATTCTTTCTTCAACTTGACCCAAATCATGTTCTTATCAATGAAAATTAATTTATTCAATCAAGCCCAAAAGAAACTGAAAACTAGACGACTTTCTTAGGGCCAAAGTAGAAAAATAAATACAAAAAAAAAAAAAAAAAAAATCTCAGAAAATTTCTACAAAAAAATTAATCTAATTTTTAGAGAAAAAAACTACAAAATTTGTGAATTTCAGATGTCAAAAATTTTCTAGAAAATGTCTAAGTTTTTGAGATTATTCACAAAATTTCAGAGTTTTTGGAGAAAATGTACACCTTCTGTCTATGTACAATGGCCGTAATACACCTTCATAAAAATCCCGTTCCGGTTTTGGATCTACAATAAATATTGAGTTACTTTGCTGGATTTTGGGTTTTGCTTTTTTAGTCCACTTGGCAAAACTTTTGGACTCCTCTGTGATAAGGATCTTAATTTGATAAAACTATTATTACTTATTTTTTGGTAACTGTTTGAGTGTGACTGCATGGGACAGCATTCATAGCACCATAAAAATAAATATTGTTCTGAAAAACATTTCCAGGACAAACATGCTTCTTCAAGATCCCACTTACTGAAGAAAGTGTGATTTAAATTGCTCTACTTCACACATTTAATCAGATTTTGAAGAGCAAACAGTATGATTTAGAAATGTTATTTTTGTAATTTTCTCTGCTGTCAGTTTTCTTTTTTTTTAATTTACTATCAATAATTCAAATTTATTGTGGCAGGATAAGAAATTTTTCACGATACAACGATACATTCCCACCCTACACAGCAGTCACCAAAGCCTTACCTTTGAGGGAAAGGAAGTGCCGCCACTCTTTCTAGAATAAAAAAACTACAAATTTCCAAAGAATCAGTTCTTCTGAGGGTGTTGTGAACACTCTGATTATATAACACTGTGCTTTAACTGAGTCTTAAGCAGAATAAATCCAGGTCAGCGAGATCCAAACAACTCGGCCCAGTATGTGGCGACATCTAAGGGTCATGAGACCCGGCAGCAGTCTGAGAGATTTGCTGCCGGTCCGTATCTGCACTCTGTTTGCTGCCAGAGACAGTAAACATTTATGAGGTTCATATTTTCATCTGAAACTGGTCCCAGTTCAGGGAATCGGGGTCGTCATCGGCTGAACTTCAGCATTTGGTAAACCTGGAGATCCGAGGTGAGGATCCTCCCACTGGGAAACGATCTGCTGTTTGTGTTTGTGTAGCTGGCGGAGCAGCAGATTGTGTATAATGAATTTATTGCTCTGACTTTGACCCGGTCACTCCAGCGGATTCATAGAAATTGAGATCGTGATCGGCGGCATGACAATGATTCTCCTGACACCTTCGGGAGGACAAACAGGAAGTCAGAGCGCAGCGTTCTGGAGTTCTGGTACAAGTGATGGTACCACTTGTACCACCACCAGCCAAATAAGGCATAACATTATGACCACTGACAGGTAAAGACCACCGATTAACTCTCCATCATGGTGCCTGCTAGTGGGTGGGATATTTATGCTTCCTTTAACAGCATCCTTACATAATAAGATTTTAGTCTGGTCAGTTCTGCTTATTTTGAGCTGTTTTAGGGGGTCTTGTCACTTCAAATCTAAAGCTGCTGTTGGCTACGCCCCCAACCCAGCATTTACACTCACATGTGAAAATGGCTGCCAACCCATGCACAATATACAGCCGTACATCATTGAAAAGCATTAGCAGAATGCAATTAATTAAAAGACAAGGGTTTTTTGTCTTGTATTTACAGACAAAAATAAAACTTGGCAAATATGTTTTACCCTAAACTTCACCAGTTTCAAATTCAATAAAGAAATACTATGTTGTTTGTTTTCTTATTTTAAAAAGGAATTAAATTATTGATTGTTTTGCATCTTTTGATGTAATTATAAAGTATGAAAAGGCTTAAGTGAATAAATAAAAATCTGTGGAATGTTCCAAGTTTTTTTTTAATCTGATTAATCAATTAAGTGTCAGAATAATAGATAGAATAATCCTTTAGCATGATAATTATTAGTACCAGCTCTATATCTAATTTAGTGCCATATAGCAGATATTTTTGGGGGTGAATATCAGAATTGGGCCGTTCAGACTGCCGTGAAAAATTTTAATATCAGTCGCATTTTGGTAAAAAAAACCAAAAAGAAATACCATAGCCATAATGTTTTGACTCATCAGTGTACATTTTGTTAAAAGGTATTTCTCTCAGAGGAGAACAGGTCGGGCTAAACCAATCCTGGGTTTCCTCTGTGTTTACAGATCTGTGAAATTTATGAGCGTTGTCTCCTTTCTTACCATCATGCTGCTGTTATTTTAATGAATCTTTGTGCTGCAGAGGAAGAAGCATTCCTCTCTGTTACTGCTCTTCAGTTAAAACAAAATGTCATGCTTGGTTTCTCTGCAGTGACTCAGGGATTAGAGCTGCGCTCCGTGTTGCAAAATAAATGCAGAATATTTCTCTGGAGCTGGCCTAAGAACCGAACCCGGTTTCTACAAACATTAACTGTGTTCTGGTGGATTTACAGCCTGATGTAAATCCAACCCGTTTGGAGTCAGTTGATGTAAATGCAGAAATATGCCTGTAAGTATTTTATGTGTTAGAGGAGATTTGCTCCAGAGCAGAGCAGGCCTCTCCTACGCCCACGCTGACATACGTCTGGCTGCTTCTCTCCTGCAGCACCTGCTGAAGAGACTTTTCTCTCCTCCCCCTCTCCTCTCCGTTCTTCTGTTTTTCCTCTGAAATTCAGAAGAAAATAGAAGGTCTGGTGAGTTTCAGCATCTTGTATAACATTAGGGCTGAAACGATTAATCGTGTTGGATTGATGATTGAAATAATCGTGGACGAGTTTAGTAATCGATTAATCGTTAACTGGAATCAATAAAGGCAATTTGCTGAAAGAACAACACACTCAGAGGAGTAAAACTGTGCAAAATATATATACATTTTCAAGGTTTCCCCAAAGAAAACTTGCTAAACCCGGTGGTTCATTCATCCAGCGGCCCGTCATGTTTTTAAGTTAAAAATTGGAAGACTCATACCTGAACGTATTAAAAAATGCAAGCATATAAATAAACAATGCTAAGCCTGGTGAGGGAACAAGTCCAGCCTGGTGGCCCACCAGGCTTATAATACACTGGGGAGAAACCATGCATTTTACATTTAACATAAAAAAAACCATTGGTTTTACCCAGATCTCCTCAAGAGGTATAGTTTTAGCTTCACCTCATTCAAACTCTGTAAAAATAATTCTCCTTTTAAACAGATTTAAAAGGAGATTCTGCAGATTTTTCATTTAAATCTTTATAATATTAGACATACATGAAAATATGCTGATAAACAATCAACTTCCTTTTATAAATAAGAAAATAAACATTTTATTGCTTAAAACGCAATAACACGGCATTGCTTTAGCTACTTTGAGTCTGGTGAAACTAAAACTATGAGGCCACTTGTGGAGTTTTGGGTAAAACGTTTAAACGTTTTATGGTCTTAAAAGTAAAATATATGTATATATTGTATAATTTTGGCTTAGTTATTGCTCTGAGTGTGTTGTTCTTTCGGTAAATAGCCTTTTTTAAGACTGTATCCTCCAGTAAATTAGTAAATTAGTTGACGATTATTTCAGTAACTGATTAATCACGACTAATCCGATTAATCGTTTCCGCCCCAGTAGAGATACTGAAGTACCACCAAGCAGACGGATCTGTTGAATGCGGAGGGGGGTTGTTGGGTGTGGAGAGAGTCAGCAGAGTCACAAACAGACAGCAGGAGTGGAGAAAGAGCGTGTGGTTATGTAAAGCAGGCGACCTCATGCTGACCAAGCAGCCGGCAGACAGAGACGCAGTGATGTAACCTCCACAGAGCCGCCGGCGAGCATCGAGCGATCCGCCAAGCGCAGACCGAGCCGCGGCCTCGCTCCGATTCAGGTTTACATATCCAGGGACGGAGATGTGTGAGCGGAAAGGCGGCTCCTGGTTTTTGCTTGTGGTAGAAAAGCAAATCAGCAACTGATCAGGGACGGAGTAATGAAAACATATTGGAGGTGAACAAACAAGAAATCTCAAGACTTCAAATAGAAGTTGAAAATTATAGTTTTCAGGACACAGAAACCTTCGGTTCACTCTACAAGCCAAAGCAGCTTTAACTACGGTTCGCTTGAAATCCCTGAAAATGTTTGAATTTCAGTTTGGTGTTTTCAAGATTTGGAAAGTGCTTGAATTTTGTTTGAAGTCCTTGAAAGTGCTGGATATTCAAAGTGGGCGTTTTTGTAATATAGTGTAATCTAACGCTGGATTATAAACCTAAATTTGGAAAACATTCTTTATAATTGACACAAGATAATAAAAAACTTTTTTCATTGTCTGAAGTTAAATCAGACCATTTTTTTCTTATTTTAGGTCAGATTTACCAAAATTATTCATATTTGTTAAATGACAGAAAACTTGGCAAAAACATTTTTTAGAGATTTTCTTGTAACTTACTTTATATGCATTACCTTAACATGATTTGTTTGGAATATTTCAGTGTAATAAATATGTATTATTCCTAATGGCTCAATGATTTACCGATAGACATTTGAAATTGTTGGTGTGTAGTAAGAGAGACGCTTCAAAACTTTAAATTTAGCTATATTTTACTTTACCTTTCCCTGCTGTGGAATGTAAAATACAGCAATAAATGATGTCAGAGTGAAGTGAAACTGTATTTTTTTAGTTAATTTGTTTAGTTTTTATCTCCAAAGTGTGAAAGGTTTGGAAAGCTACCTTGGGAATCCTTAAGAAGTGCTTGAGTTTTACTGTAGGAAAAGTGTTTGAACCTGACCGTAACTGCCGTGAGTCTTTGTTCGCTGCTTTTTTCTTATCTGGTTGTCTAGAGAACATCGAAGCACAGAGAGGAGCTGCAAACTCGTCATGGCCATAAAACAAGCTCCATTTAAATCATCTGTTTTATGGCGATTTAGGAAGAATTTCTGTGATGTGGTCTTATATCACGAACATTAGCCCCTGCCAGTGGACTTTAAAACATCAACCTGATTAAAACCCTGAAAATGAGCCCAGATGTTTTTGTTTCCATCTCCGTTTTCAGGACTACATTGACGCACACCCTGAGACCATCGTCCTGGACCCTCTCCCCGCCATCCGAACCCTGCTGGACCGCTGCAAGTCCTACCAGCTCGTCCACAGAATAGAAAAGTGTATGCAAGGTAAGACTGCTGATTGGCTGACCGCTTGCTTGTTGCTGCATAATCAGGCCGGAAGAGAGAGTTTTGTTGAATTGTTGGACAAGTAGATTTTTTTAAAAGAAATTAAGGAAGGAGGAGGAGGAACATGTTGGACTTAAGCAAGTTTTTGCTTAACAGAGGGATTGTAATTTTTCAGAGTTTCATCATCCATCAGCAACATCACAGTGCCTGTCTGGTTAAAGTCAGAATTATTCAAAAATAAATAAATTTAAAATAAAAATTCTGTAAAAAAAAATAAAATAAAATAAAAATAAACAAAAAATAAAAAAAAATCTGCATTTTAAGGTTAAAGTCAGGATTCTTCAAAAAGGTAAAAATCCTGAGAAAAATTTAAAATTGTGAGAAAAAGATGAGAAGTCTGAGAAGAAAGTCAGAATTCTTAAAAAAAGTCCAATCTCTGAGAAAAATGTAGAATTCTGAGAGAAAATTAGAATTCTGAGAACAAAGTGAGAATTATTTAAAAAAAGTGAGAATTCTGAGAAAAAAGTCAGAATTTCGAGAAAAAACTTAAATTCTCAGGACAAAATGAGA